GACTCATCATTGTTCCAGGTCAAAGCCACAGTATCACCTGCAAACGTCACAGTCTGATTGATCTTTAAATGTCAAAGTGAGCTGGTCTCAAAAGGTCAGTGCAGTGGTCAGATTGGTATTTGGGTTTTTGTGATATTCATAGCATCAATAAACTAAAAATGTATATATATCTATATATATATCTATATCTATATATATATATATCTTCATATATATATATATATATATATATATATATATATATATATATATATATATATATATATAGATAGATAGATAGATAGATAGATATATATATATAGATATATATATATATATATATATATATATATATATAGAGTCACACCCTGTCCTGTCTCCCCATCCTGTTCAGCCATGTGTCTCTGTTAATTGCTCCCACCTGCCTCTCGTTTTCCAATCACCCAAGCTCCCAGCCCTCTTGTATTTAAACCCCTCCAGTTTTGTGTCTCTTGTTGGCTCATTGTTCCCATGTCCTGCGTGCGTTTGTTATTAAAACCTTTTACGTTACCCAGTTTGTCTACCTGCCTGATTCCTCCCCAGCATGTGGATCCTCACCTCCGTTCCACTCACCGGCACGTTGTGACAGAATGAGCCAACCCACAGAAGGATCCAGCAGCGAGGTTATCCCTTGGGAGAACCTGCTCCAGTTTCTCGCCGCGGACCACCGGCCGGCTTCTCTTCCTTCGGCATCGCCTCGCCGCGGACGCCGCCACAGAGCCTGGGCCTCAGCGATCCTCTCCACCCTCTCAGAGGCGGATGGAGACTTGGACAGGGAGGTGCAGATGGACCGCTCCTGCTATGTGGGCACCAGACTGGCTGTGTGCTCCCCCGGAGTTGGCCCACGGCGTTGGGAAGGATGCCGGGCTCCACCGTCACCCCTTGTCCCAGGACGGAGCCACGAGCTCGCAGCTGCCCTGGCTCAGCGCGCCAGCTTGGACCCGCCCCCAGTCAGACCAGCAGTCCCGTCTCCGGTCCAATCAGCACCTCCGTCATCTGCAGGCAGAGGAACCACGCCTACAGCCCAGCTGACAAAGCTCGCCGGTCTCCAGGCGGAGCTTGGCCGGATCTGTCAGCTTGTCAGCCTCCGGGAGTTCCAGCTGGATACCTTATCCTCCCCGTATCTCCAGGAGAAGGTTTCTGTCCAGCCAGCTGCCCCGCCTCCGGTCCAGTCAGCAGATCTCTCGTCTCCAGGCCAAAGGACCGAGCTCGCAGCTCATCCAACAGAGCTCGCCGGTCTCCGAGCTGAGCTGGTCTGACTCCGTCAGATCCTCAGTCTCCAGGAGTTCCAGCTGGACAATCTATCCTCCCTGCTTTTCCAGTTACCGGCTCCACCAGGTCCCGTGCCACCAGTCCAGTCAGCGCCAGGTCCCACACCACCAGTCCACTCAGCGCCAGTTCCAGCGGTGATCCAGGACGCTCCGCCCCCGGGCCAGCCTGTCCAAGAGGCTCCGCCCCCAGGCCAGCCTGTCCAGTGGTCAGCGCCCAGTCTGGCGGCACCAGCCAAGGAAGCGGTCACAACTGCAGCGGCTCCGCCTCCACTCCAGAAGTCGGCGGCCCCTCCTGCAGTGGCTCTGCCTCCACTCCAGAAGTCGAAGCCTCTGGTCCAGAAGTCGACGCCTCTGGTCCAGAAGTCAACGCCACTGATCCAGAAGTCGACGCCACTGGTCCAGAAGTCGACGCCACTGGTCCAGAAGTCGACGCCTCTGGTCCAGAAGTCGACGGTCCAGGTCCAAAAGCCAGCAGTCCAGAAGTCGGTGGTCCAGAAGCTGGCGCCTCCGGACCAAAAGCCGACAGTCCAGGTCCAGAAGTCGGCGGTCCAAAAGTTGGTGGTCCAGAAGCCAGCGCCTCTGGACCAGAAGCCGACAGGGGTCGACGCTCCTTCCCGTCCAGAGGTAGACGCTCCTTCCCGTCCAGAGGTAGACGCTCCTTCCCGTCCAGAGGTCGACGCTCCTTCCCGTCCAGAGGTCGACACTCCTTCCCGTCCAGAGGTCGACGCTCCTTCCCGTCCAGAGGTCGACGCTCCTTCCCGTCCAGAGGTCGACGCTCCTTCCCGTCCAGAGGTCGACGCTCCTTCCAGTCCCGAGGTCGACGCCCCCTCCTGTCCGGAGGCCGACGTCTCCCCCTCCTGTCCGGAGGCCGACGTCTCCCCCTCCAGTCCGGAGGCCGACGCCTCCGCCTCCAGTGCGGAGGCCGACGCTTCCGCCTCCAGTCCGGAGGCCGACGCCTCCGCCTACGGTCCGGAGGCCGACGTTTCCCCCTCCGGTCCGGAGGCCGAAGTCTCCGCCTCCAGTCCGGTGGCCGACGCCGCCGCCTCCAGTCCGGTGGCCGACGCCGCCGCCTCCAGTCCGGTGGCCGCCGCCTCCATTCCGGTGGCCGCCGCCGCCGCCTCCAGTCCAGAGGTCGTCGCCGCCACCTCCAGTCCAGGAGTCAAGGACGTCTCCTCCGGCGTCTCTGCCTCCGTTCACCACCAGTCCTGCCCTCACCAAGCGCGGGCCCCCAAGAGCCCATCGTCACCTCCTCCTCTGCCACATACGCAGGCCCCCAAGAGCCCGTCGTCGCCTCCTCTGCCCCAGACGCAGGCTCCCGGACTCTACTGGTCCCTGCCTCCTCTGAATCTGTCCCTCTCGGCCCTTCCTCCGTGTCCACCTCCTCCCGCCCTGCTCTATGTTCCTGTGGGCATCTGGGATCCGCCCTTTGATGGGGGGGGGGGGGGGGGGGGGGTTGTCCTGTAACACCCTGCCCTGTCTCCCCATTTGGTTCAGTCCTGTGTTCATGTTAATTGCTCCCACCTGCCTCTCGTCTCCCAATCACCCAAGGTCCCAGCTCCTCCTGTATTTAAACCCCTCCAATTCTGTGTCTCTTGTTGGCTCATTGTTCCCATGTCCTGCGTGTGTTTGTTATTAAAACCTTTTATGTTACCCAGTTTGTCTGCCTGCCTGATTCCTCCCCAGCATGTGGATCCTCACCTCCGTTCCACTCACCGGCACGTCGTGACATATATACACATGTATTTTTCAGTCTGAAGTTATAAAAAACGCATTCCCACAGTAATTAAATGTAAAAAGTCAATGTATTCATCCTGCATGATTTTCTGTCAAGAGTTTACAGTGTAGGAGCTATAGAAATTAGAAAACTTAAAAAATCCACCAAAAATGAGAGAAGTATTTTTTCCTAAAAGTAAAGGAAGTAGTTTGTAGAGGAGCTAAGTATTGACCAGCAGGCATGATTCTGTGTCAGCGTTTACAGTACAAGAATTTTTGAAATTACACAAATTAAAAAATTCACAAAAAACCTGAGAAGTATTTTTTCATGAAAGTAAAGTTTGTAGTTAGTAGAGCAGCTAAGTATTGACCTGCATGCATTATTTTGTGTCAACAGAGTTTACAGTATAGGAGTTATTATTATTATTATTTTTTAAATATCACCAAAAGTCAGAGGGGAACAAAAAAAACAACAAAAAACAAACAATGCTCAATGCTTTCTGTCTGGCTCACGGCGTACCGAGTGATACCGGGACGCGGGATATTTTCTCGCCGAAAATGATAGCTCTCCTGCGGCATGCCGCTCTTTGAACTCCACGGAACTCCTCCTCATCAGTCTTCTCGATGGTCTTCTCCCCCTTCCCCATCCTCATCAGGGTCAGCTGGGCCTGCTGGTACAAAATTTTCATCCTCCGAGTCCACAGAGTCATTGTCAGAAGACAAGCTTTCCCCACTGGAGACTGTTGGTTCCTGCTGGGCTTCTATAGCTCATAAAAAAGTTCACAGGCTTGTGATACATTAAGACATTGTGCCACTTTTGCAATGGAAAAAAAAAACTAATCCCAATCTGAGCCGTCTATATAAGCATTTTCAGCAAGGACACAAGTGTAAACATTGATTGATGCAGGCATTTGTTTTTACAGGCTGCATCTTTGAAGTTATAGCTGTAGATATTGTGTGTTCATGAGCTTTGAGCTGTTCAAAAAGTTGTATTCTTGTTGGCATTACAACTTCCAACAGTAAATAAGTTGGTAACTTTTGAACATTTGCAGCACATTCAGTTTATATCCAGCTACCACAAAGTTTTGGTGTAGCTCAAAGAGTCTAAGACATATAAAGCCCCACCCTCCCCTCCACCCCCCAACCTCCACCACCCACCAAAGCATGAAAAAATATTTCCTCTGGTAATCTGTCAATTGCATCGAGTCATAAGTGCATGCATGTGGGCAGAAACACACACAAAAAACACATATAAATCTGTTGTTTAGGATTTTGCACTGATATTAGACTTTGGGTGAGAACTGATTTTTCTAACGAAACTGAAAAGAAAAAAAACAGTCACATAAATTATGAAAACACACATGCACACTAGTCTGACATCTCTAAAAACACTCAAACAAAAATTGTTCAAAAAAATTATTGCATTGTGAATCCAGGGGCCACTAAATCTTCAAAACATAAATTTCTAAAGTGTATTATAAATCAATGTCCTGCCATTTATAGAAATATCATGCCATTTGGTGGAAAAAATTAAAAACAAAAATTTCAGTCCCTAGTGGCAGCAGGAACACAGGTGGAGTGAAATAAAAAAATATTTATAGTGATATTTAGCTTTGTTAGAAAAAGGTTGTTTGAATGAGAGTCTATGGCACCAAAAAATGTCCAGGGACCTCAATGTTCCTTTTTTGTCTACACAATGTTTTAAATGGAGTGTGTGTGTGTGTGTGTGGGGGGGGGGGGGGGGGGGGGGGGCATTTTACTTTTAGTAAACTTACCCAGAAACACACACCGGAGACAAAAATAAAAAGAATTACATCAACACAGTCAAAACTTATTAAAAAAAACATGACTGCCTCACAAAAAAATGCACGAGGGACCTCTAAGGGTTAATTCATTTTCAACGACATTTCAATGGATAATTCCAGAGATTAACAGTAAAAACTACACACTGTCTCTTTAAAAAAAGCAAGATCAAAGACACAGCTACGACAGAGCTAATGCATTTCATTGATAGTTTATTTTTTAGGTGAAAAGTGCCTTTAAGGACCCGGTCAGTGGTTGATTGTAAGGTGAAGTTACACAGACAGCATGAGCAACAAGTGTCAGAATCCTAGTCCTCGCCATAGCTAATGTAATGACAAATGGGAAAACCAGAGACAATGAAAATCTAATGGCGATTTATTTCACAGTCATGGTCCTGTTTTGCATTTCAGAATATTCTTAAGGTATGTGGCACCAAAAGCTAGCTCCTAGCCTCCAAAAATGTTTAAACCACCTGGTGAAACATCTCAGCCTTCTGTCATAAAGCTTTCTAAATATTGCTTTTTTTCTTTAAACTGCATTTGTGCAATAAAATCTCAGTGACAACATCCAAAAGGAAAACACCTGGGACGCTGCTGACTCAGAGGTTTTGGCGTTTGGAGTGATACTGGCATTCTTTAGTACACCCACGACACAGGCACCCATTGGGGGGTGGAGGTGGCGTGCTCCATGGCCTCCTCTACCCCTTTAACGCTCTCATCCACGTCGTTGTTGACAAGAACCACGTCAAAGAAGTGTCCGTACGTGCCCAGGATGGCGTCCGACTCTTTCTGGATCATCTGAAGGTTTTCCGTCTAAGAGAGAGGAAACAGGAAGTTTAGCTATTGGCTCGTTGATTTAGATGTTTTTAAAAAAAGGTGTTTATCGTGTGATGTTGTGGCACCTGTGTGGCAGTGTTGGTGGGAGCTATAAACACCACCAGGGGGGCGAAATCAGCTGTCCGCACAAGTTTTAAGGTCTGTAGGAAGATTTACAAACAAATCAATTACACCCTGGGCACTAAATATTCCAGAAGTGTCCATTACAAAGTCAAAAATGTGAGCATAGTGTTTCTGTTTGTCCGTTCTGACCTGTGGTTCCACATCCAGCACAGCAATCTTGTCTTGATCGTGGATCTTTTGGATGGTCTCGAATTTGGTACCGAACATGTATCCCTGGAAGCTTCCGTACTCCAGCAGCTCGTTTTTGGAGACACACTTGGTCATGTCTTCATTGGACATGAAGTAATATTCATGTCCGTTCTCCTCGTCCTTCCGCTGGGGTCTGGTTGTGTCTGTGCAAATTCAGTGTTTGAAATGAAGATTTTTGCAAACCTAGCTTCGCTGTAAGAACAAAAACATCCTACTTACGTGGTGCAGGGTAGGAAAATTTCTCAGGGTATCTCATCAACAGTGCATTTTTGATATGGCTCCTTCCCACACCAGGTGCTCCTGAGAAGAGCAAAGTTAAGAGCTCATTCATTCAATTTGCGATGAAGCAAGTTTCCTCTTATGTCCCTGAGAAAGACAGCTTACCGATAAGCACCAGAGTTTTTCTTTTAAAAGCAGGGAGCCTCACCACCTCTTCATAGGAAATCACATCCAGTTGGTCAAAAACTGCAGACAAATAATCATGTTTAGATAAACTTGCACTGGGGTGTAAACTTGGGTCCAGTAATCCTCTCACTTGAGCTGTGCTTAGCGAGATATTTGTCCTTGCACTTCTTTTTCTTTCCAAACGGGCTGCAGGACTGACTTCCCTCCTTGGCCTTGCTTTTACTGGCCACTCTCCTGCAAAGAAACAGGCACATGAAGTTGTATATGCATCTTCAGCTCTGCAGGACCACTAATCAGAAATGATGCGTATCTCTACCACTCTTGGAGCTCTGGGGAAGGTATCAGTCCAGCAAAGTCCACACCGCTGCTCTCCACTCTGCCCTGCCACCAGTTTGGATCCTGCTTGTTAATAATGTGGATGATGTCTCCAGTTTGAAACTTTAGGCCAGCCTCTTTGCATGGGATGAGGTCATCCTTGGTCGGGTCATAATCAAACTGAGCTCTCATGTATGTCTGTGGATAAGGATCAGGACATGTGGAGCAGAGATACTAAATATTTTGTGTAATAAGAATATTTAATCGTTTCTGCACAAATACCACCTTTAGGAAATAAAGTAGTCTAATACAGACTTCAGACATTTCCTTGTTATTTGGATTCTATCAAAGACAAAAGTTAAAATCACCCACGGGTAGAGCATAATGCCAAATGATCATGACAGCTTCTTGCAGAACACTAAAACTGTTTCATAATGAATAATAAAAGCATGAATTGGTTTGACAAATGTAGACTTCAGTCTCATTGATTATTAGAATTTAATTTTAATACAAAACATTCCTAAACTGTCACAGATTATGGAACATGCATACTCCACCCACAGGTGAATTACTACAACCACATTCCTCAATGGCTGGGATCCCCGCAAGAAAATTAATGCAACAGATTTCTGACTTTTTTTTTACTTAGAATTTATAGAAAATCCTGCAGCAAGGGATGGATATAAGTGTCTCTATGTCTTCCTCAGATATATGCTCTAATGGGAAGTAAAATGCATGTTTTACTTACTTATTTATATATCTATTGATTATGTAATAATCAAAGGACATGTGCGAGTTCACTTCAGTTGAGAACTCAGGAATTTTGGGGAAATTTCTTAGTTTCTCGCCCTCCTGACTCAGATTTGCTCAGATTCTGAATGCTTTGCCTCAGAACTGTGGACTGGAGTCACGTGACTTGGACTTGATTCACGTAACTTGGACTTGAGTCATGTAACTTGGACTCGAGTCAGATTTGAGTCACAGATTTGATGATTTTAGACTTGACTTGAAAAATGTTTAAAGACTTGTTTTTTATATACCAGTGACTTGGGACTTGACTTAGACTTGAACCTGTTTACGAGAAAAGACCTGGGGTCTCATTTATCAAACATTGCGTAGAATCCTTACTAAAACTGTACTTAAGCTCAGCAAAACAAATGTACTTACGCCAAGTAGGTTTGTGATCTATCAAACATGGAGAACGCACAGCTGCACGCAATCTCCGCTTCATAAATCAGAAACTATCTAGAAAGGTTCTCAGCTGCTTTTTAGTCACATCCCACCCTCACCACGCCCACTTACTGCCATAAATAGTCAATGCAAAGTGCCTTGTGGATCTCATGCATATACATAAGCCGGCTGTTGCAGCGCTCCACCAATGACATGGCGACCGTAGATCAAGGCTACGGTGGCCCTGAAGTGCAAACCACAAAAACAAATCACTTAACGCAAACACAAATTGAAAAGCGCAAAAACAAATCGCTTAGCGGTCTGGCAAGGACCCGGCCTGTGGATTCGGACACACCCGCTGACTGCTCTTTCACATAACCACGTTCGGCAGAACAACTTCCGATTCAAAAGGCCAACGGATCCATCATCCAATCAGTGATGCCTGTTGTTGCAGCATTGGTACCTACCTTTTCCGGTTTGTTTTTTGTTTTTGTGGTTTTCAATTTGGTTTTGTGTTTAGTGAATTTGTTGTTGTGCTTTTCAATTTTTTGTTGTGCTTTTCAATTTGTTGTGCGTTTAGTGATTTTTTGGTGCATTTAGTGAATTTGTTTATGCGCTTAGTGATTTTTTGGTGCATTTAGTGAATTTGTTTTTGCGCGTAGTGATTTTTTGTTGCGTTGTCACGGCTGCCAGCCTGAAGAGGGGAAAAAGCAGCCAGGATCACCCAGCTCTGGTGATTGACTGGACACCGCCCCTCCTCTTCCTCTCTTCCAGGCTGCTGAGGAGCACAGCTGAACTGAATCCTCCTGATGAGCCACACCTGGGATAAAAAGGCTGTGCCTTCAGCAGTCTGGGAGGCAGCAGTGCAGGGGTTCTGCTGTCCTCCAGGTCTCGTTTGGTTTAACCGCGTCGTTATGATGAGTTTTAACTTATAGTTTTAACTCTGAGTGATCCACATGGATCTTTTGTGCAAGTCACCTAGTGTTGACTGTGTTTTAAGGTTAACTCGGATTTAGTTTTTAGACTTTTATCAACGTCACTGTGTTTTAAAACACCTTCAGTTTAGGTAAAACTTTTAATAAAGTTTTAACCAGGTGTTTTATAGTTGATAATTTGTCTTTTAACTGTTAACCTTATAGTGAATTTTTCGTTTTGCATTATTTTAATAATGCTCGCCGTCTGTTTGCTCTTGTTTTTAGAACCTTTTATCACAATTAAACCCATTTTAAACGCCACTGTCGTATTTCTTATGTTACCCCCTCCTTCACATTTTAACATCTCCTGTCGGGGACGTAACATAAATGGGGGCTCGTCCGGGATATTTATTTTAACAGCAGACCGTGAAGGAATGTACAATCCCTGGTGGTGGTATTTTAATGATGTTTTATTTGTTTCAAGGTTTTAAACAGATGGCTTTGTGGATGACTGGCGGGTGCTTCTGGAGGCCTAGCTCCCGCTGGAGGATCCACTGCTGGATGGGCTCTCAGAAGCTTCAAGTCTGATCCAGCCCAAGGAGAGGAGGATAAAAGACGTGGATCCTGAGATGACCCCCACAGGCAGGCTCAGGTGTTGCACCTAGCGGGTTAGCGTTGGTGGTTTACTCCACCATCTCGGGAGCACCCCAGGAAGGGCAGTGGCTAACCCCCTCCCTTTGCTGGTCGGAATGTGCAACAGCACATGTGCTTAATCTGCCCGCCTGCGAAGTGCATGAGGAGTAGGGATTTTAGATAGCCTGTTTTATTTTATCGGGGGTCTCTTTTGTTTTTATGTGATCCTAGCTGTTAAAGAAAAAGTTTTAAAAGTTTCTATTGTGTCCTTTACTAACTTTTATCCTTTTTCTTTTGTTTATGTGTGGGGGTGTCACGGCTGCCAGCCTGAAGAGGGGAAAAAGCAGCCAGGATCACCCAGCTCTGGTGATTGACTGGACACCGCCCCTCCTCCTCCTCTCTTCCAGGCTGCTGAGGAGCACAGCTGAACTGAATCCTCCTGATGAGCCACACCTGGGATAAAAAGGCTGTGCCTTCAGCAGTCTGGGAGGCAGCAGTGCAGGGGTTCTGGTGTCCTCCAGGTCTCGTTTGGTTTAACCCCGTCATTATGATGAGTTTTAACTTATAGTTTTAACTCTGAGTGATCCACATGGATCTTTTGTGCAAGTCACCTAGTGTTGACTGTGTTTTAAGGTTAACTCGGATTTAGTTTTTAGACTTTTATCAACGTCATTGTGTTTTAAAACACCTTCAGTTTAGGTAAAACTTTTAATAAAGTTTTAACCAGGTGTTTTATAGAGTTGATAATTTGTCTTTTAACTGTTAACCTTATAGTGAATTTTTCGTTTTGCATTATTTTAATAATGCTCGTAGTCTGTTTGCTCTTGTTTTTAGAACCTTGTATCACAATTAAACCCATTTTAAACACCACTGTCGTATTTCTTATGTTACCCCTTCCTTCATATTTTAACATCTCCTGTCGGGGACGTAACATGCGTTTAGTGATTTGTTTTTGCACTTAGTGATTTTTTGTTGCATTTAGTGAAATTGTTTTTGCGCTTTTCAATTTGTTGTGCGTTTAGTGATTTGTTGTTAGGCTTTTCAATTTGTTGTTGTGCTTTTCAATTTGTTGTGCATTTAGTGACTTGTTTTTGTGTTTAGTGAATTTGTTGTTGCATTTTTCATTTTGTTGTGCGTTTAGTGATTTGTTTTTGTGGTTTGCACTTCAGGGCCACCGTACAAGGCAGATCAAGGAAGCCCAATTTCACACAAGCTGAAATTGAGGTACTTGTGGGTGAGGTGGAGAAATGAAAGGAAGTACTTTTGCAAAACAAATATGAGAAAATCCACAGAGTGGCACAGCATTGCTGAAGCCGTCAATGTTGTGAGTTCTTCAGAGAGATCTGTGGCGGATATAAAAAAAAATGGTCCAATCGGGATTCGATCCCCAGACTCCCAGGTGAAAGTCACGCATGCTAACCTGTCACCCTATTGGAGATCTGCCTTGTCCAACTAACCAGGGTGCATGATCAATCGGTTCACAGTGACAGGACACACACTTTCACAGATGCATGACATTCTGTCTCAATCTGTCCCCCTGCTGATCTTCTGCATTCTGTATTCTGCGCTTCAGGCTGTGTGTGTGTGTGTGTGTGTGTGTGTGTGTGTGCGTACGTGTGCGCACGCATGTGTGTGCGTGTGGGGGGTCTTGTTCTGTGTGAAAACGAAGAGTAGACGTGATAATGCTGCAGGATTTCATAATTTTATCCTTCTCAGCAGCAGCACTGCAGGTGCTCTCCATGTCCAAAATGTGTGTAAGCCAGGTCCTTATTCAACTTAAAGTTGCGTACATTTTTCCGCTAAGTTTTCTTTCATAAATCCCAAAGTTTGCGTGGAAAGTTGCTTATGCAGTTTTCCAACCCCGTTCTGTGCGTAAGCAAGCTTGATAAATGAGGCCCCTGATATTTGGCCCAATATTTAGTTTAAAACATTTGAGAATTTCCCATTTTTAAGTTATTTCGCTCAACCCCGTATTAACAAACGGGGACGTCTGTCTGTAGGCTAGCAAGTGTGTGAGAGCTGCAGTACAGCCAATCAAATTAACCAGATTTAAAAAGAGAAACGGAATCCAGCAGAATCCTCTGTTTCTGTAAACGGCGCTGCAGCTAACATTTATGTTTTGGGTACACACATCACAAATTCATTAACAAAAAATGCAGAGCAATATGTAAACCATGCAAGAAAAGAAATACAGAAGGAGATGGAACAACTCCTAACCGGGTTCGACATTTGAAGTTGAACGGTAGGTGGTCTTTTTTTTTTTTCGTACAATGAGATAGATACCTTCAGCTAACTACTCCTTATGAACATGTTCTCCGGCCTAAGTTTATGGTACTGTTTGGCTCTAACATGCATGTTGTTTTTGTCATGCCATTTTAAATCATGTTTTAAAATTGCATCTAAGAATAATCGGCTGCTAATTAGCTCAGGATTACATCCAGACAGCAGGTTCTTTATTATTGTCTCCAGCAGACAGAACTTTTGGCGAGCCGTGAAGTGCAATGTTATGGCCGGAGCCATTTGTGTTGTTTCATTTTTTTACACCTTTATCCTCCTTTTTCATGTTAGCACATGTGGTGCTGCACCTGAGGAGCTGTCCAGAGCTCCATGCCTGCAGACTGGGCGTGTCTGCTCAACCTGGCTCCGCCCAGCACCAGATGTGCAGAGTCGCCATCAGCGGCTGATTGCTTCAAGCGAAGATATTCAATTCCGGTCCTCGAAGGCTGGTATCCAGAATGTTTTAGTTGTTCCTCTGCTCCAACACACCTGATTCAGTGGTTGAATCACCTGTGCAGCAGTTCACCAGGCTTTGCAGAAGCCTGTAAATCACCTGCTGATTGAAATCAGGTGTGTTGAAACAAAGTTAAAACTAAAACATGGTTGAAACCAGCCCTCCAGGCCCAGAACTGAATCTTCTGGAGGTCATCACCAGTGCAGCAACAGTTCAGAACTGCTTTCCTCCAGCCTTTTGTCTCTCATTTAGAATGTGACTTTGATACTGAGTAGTGTTAAGAGTAATTTGTAGTATTTTCAGTGTTGCATTTGGAGAGGTTTAGAGCTCTCGTGTTTACATTTGGTTTTCACAGGGCTAAGACCTTTTTGTATTTGTTTCTGTTTTGAAAAGAAAAAACTTAAAACTTTTGTTAATGTTTTATCACTTGTGTCACATGTGGGTTGTAACATGCAACAATTGAACAAAAAGGGTTTTTAGGACATTTGGAAATAAACTTGGTTTGTAATTCTTTTGAGAACGTGGTGCATTAAAGTTTATTCAGAGACGTCCAATCCACGAGTCCATGAATCCTATTGGCTGTTGTCACGCCAGCTGGAGGGAGAAAATGCTGATTTTTAGAAAAATGCTCGAAAGGACTTTAAATCAGAAGTTTCAGATTTGGGACATGACTTGAAACGTGTCTGTTTAGTTCCACCTCTACTTTGCCCAATCACTCAAGCCTACCCTTGCAAACCGTGTCCCAAAGTAATTATTTAAAAAAATCCATTTTAATTATTTTCTAATTAAACAAAAAGTAATAATTTGTATTTTCTGGAAAATTTTTTAAATGAGCCTAAAACAACAGATATCTTATATCATCAATCTTTCTTAGAAATTTTGCATTTTTTAAATTTTCCGTAAGACATCCCAACATGTTAGCAAATGAGGTTCTTAAGTAGCATTAAAGAACATTCGTGGTTTCTCCAAGTTACTCCAAGATTCTTACTCTGGTTGAGTAAATAATCACAATGGAGTGACCTGGGTCACCAAGCTGATGTTCTTTGAGCAGAAGCTAATAATCTGTGTTAATGAACTACAAGCTGTAATGTAATTTGCCATCGCTGACTACAGCAAAACAATTTAATGCAGAGAGAATACACAAATAATTCCAATCAAGTCATCAAAACACTCTTTTAATTAACCTCAGTACATCAGAAGCTAATGCATTTTGGATCAGGAGCAGACATTTTCCTGGCTGTTCCAGATAAGAGCTGCAACCAGCAGATGGCAGAATGAAACCCGCTCAGCGCATTTCAAGTCACTAGCACTAATGTGAGTGATGGTCTACTTGTTTAAACTATAATAATCACCTGGGTCGGTCACTGACTAAGAAGATTCACCTGAACAAAATCATTTCAAACAGGTGAGTTGCAGAAGGCAGAGCGATCATCCCTGGATGCATTCTGGATGAAAACCAGAGCTCTAAAGTGGTGACATTTACCTCGCAGACTCGGGACCGATTCTTCATCTTGGGGATGATCTTCATCGTGACTACTCCCGTGGTTTCTTTCTGTGGGGGGAGATAACAGATGTCTGTCCAAATGCATTCTAATGACAACTCCTGCTTTCTCTTTGACAAATAGTTGTTTCCAGGTTCCAGCTTACCAGAATCTTCTGTAGCTGATCAACGGTGTGGTTCGACACACTTTTACCATTTATTTCTGCTATTTCATCTCCTTCATGTATGGAACCTGTGAAGAAGAATCCAGACACGCATTTCATGGCACTGGCTCAGCTGCAAAAGGAGCTCAATTTCCTCCAAACATCCAACTTAACCTATTTAACTTTATTTTTCATCCACCAGAACTGTGATTTATTGTTTTCTACAAAATGAAATGTTACATGTTAAAGCATAACATGTCTGTATAAAATGACAATCAGAACAAATTAAGCTCCAATCAATTCAATTAAAATGAAAAGACTGAGTAATCAGCATGTAACATTTATGTTCATATATTCTGATCTTTGGTTAGACATGAGATTTATTTAAAAATAATAAAAGATGTGACCAATTTCTGCAATGAGTGTGTGTCCAAACACTGATTCAGTCTTGTACATCCACTGTTCAACATGCAAATTAGGCAAAACATATCTAATGACAATAGTCCAAAAGAATCATCACATACTGGCTGACCATAACCTCCATAAAATCAGCAGTAGAAAGACCCACATCAGTCAGTCTGTAGTCTGTGTGCATTTACATTTTTTATTCTATTGTCTCTAAATTTGCAGATTATTATTGTTCAACCTCTATTATTTTATGTCTTTGTCTTAAGGTGCATGCTCCATGAAGCTATTGTACAAAAGAACAGGGTATGAATTGGCCCCGACAACGCCTTGAAACGGCCCTGGATGTTGAAATTAGGTTTGAAAATGAATTTATCAAATGTGTAAATATGATATGCTCATAAATAATTGCTTTATAAGGTTGCAGTGGGATTTTCCTTTTTTAAGCACTTTGTTTTGTTTTATTGTTTTTTATTTAACTATTTTCCTGTCCTGTCTTGTCTCTTATCTTCCTGCATCTCCTCTCAATCCTCCAGAAAAATGGCTGCGTGGTTTTCATACTTTTTCATCTCATGAGTTCTATCTATCTATACTGAGTATCTATCTAGTTACTGCCTCAAAAATAGAGGAGTGCGCAATGCGCCGCTGCACCAGTGAGGTGAAGTCACCGGGCCACAAGTTTTGAGCTCTGCTGCAGTAGAGCGCATCAGCCATGAAATAAAGACAGCACCAGAGAAGACGAGCCTAAAACAATCGTGTGTTAATTATATTATTTGGGTGGCACCACTGCCTGGAGCTCATCAACAATCAGCGCTCTCTGTCCTATCTGCTCAGAGTAAGTCCCGATACGCTGAGTCCATATACAAAAATGTAACATCGGTAGAAACAGGATCTGTTTTCAGGCTCCTCCTTGGTTTGTAAGTTGAGGACCTCTAAGGGAGCCCGTCACCCTTTCAGGGGAGCCGGGCTCCCCTTAGCTCCCCCATAATTCAAACCCTGCTAATAATATATCCCACTCTGTATTTAGACCCCTTTTTTATATTAAAAACATATGTAACTTTTATAACTAGACTCAGATTAATCCAACATGCTTAGACAGAACAGACTATGACTGGGGCTAAATATGCGGCGCTGACTCGTGGTGTGGAGGTCAACAATAATTACTTCAACTGAAATGTTTAGGAGATTAAAAATCAAACGTTGCATAAAAACTGATTTGTGATGGCGTTAAAGTTATCTCTACCGTGTCTGTGGATCATCCCCCCGTGCAATATTCTGGCCACAGTGCATCGCTGTTTGTCATTTACTTTCAGAGTGACACCCTACATGAGAAAATAAACAAAATTAGCATTTTTTAAAGTTTTATAATCATGCACATGCAGAGGCAGACAGCATACCATTGGCTCAGAGGGACTCTTTTCAAATGCCACTTCTTTCATCTTGGCTGACTCCGTTCCATTCAAATGTGCAGCACAACCATTGGTGCAAACATCAGCTCCTTTATTTTCAAAGGTTTGCATAGTCACCTGTTGGGCAAAACAGAATTTAAAATAATATTTTCTGCACAAATCTGATTCATGCATTTAAAAAAATAATAGTGACTGTGCCTGCGTGCCAACATCTGTTTAATCTGCAGCTTGTCTGTGTGCTCAAGGTTGAACATTAACTCTGCGTTTTAACACCTCATTAAGCACCTCCTGTCACCTGGTCCATCAGGTTCGTGTGGTCATGGATACCACAGGAAACGTCAGATGATCAAAGTGACCAGAAGCTGCAATCTGGGAATTCTCCTTAGAAAGTTACACAAATGTTGTGAAAATGGGTGGATTCCCACTGTTCCTCCGGTCATCCCTGGAGCCTTCAGATAAATCTTTTAGAGCTACATTAAATAATAGATAAGATATGCTGTGATGACTCGGTGAGAGAAGTACAGAGGTTGCAATAGCCTCAAAAGCATTTAGAAATTAATCACTAAACTATTATCATGAACTTCAGCACAAACTTTCTGCATTAAAATGACACATCAGCACTGCATCAGCAAAAAGCCATCTCACAATAAACCCATAAATCTCAGCTGGGGTGCTTCTGCTGATTTTTTCCCCCCTTTAAATGTTACGTGTGAACTAAACCTTGTGATGGTTATTTTTACCAGACTTGGGTTATCACACGTCAGAACGGTGCCACATACAGATCCAGCAGATGAAGTTACATCCTCTGAGCTGCAGTAAACATCCTGAAGCAACACACTCTCTCTTCCCTTAACGCTGGCTTTCTGTTTCCCTCCCTTTTATCTGCAGCGGATCCAAACTTGACAGGAAATTAGTTGTGAATCCATGTTTTGGACCACAGATAGTAAACACATAAAGAAACCATAAAAGTAACAGAAAATGAATTGCTGGAGCTCAAGGTGTTGGTTTAACTATAATATTTATTTACTCCAGTTCATTTAGACAAGCTTTGAAGATTTTACACTGTAAAATCTGATTAGCTCAGATTACTTGAAAAAAGCATCCAAACCAATAATAAGTACACAGGTTATTATGTGTTGGAGCTACTAATACCTACAAAGTAAAATGCACTTAAATACAAGTTACTTTAACTATAATCAACAAAGTATTAAGTACACATGACTAAGTAATAATGTGCTGGATTCACTAATGCTTACAAGATTAAATACACTTAAATAAGCTACAGGCTAGGTACAAAGTATTAAAAAAATTTTCTTATGTTTACTATTGGTTACATTTTTCCAACTCAAAAATACTACTTTGGTAAGCAAATTTCTATGAACTTGTACTAATTTGTCTTGGTTATTGTAGCTTATATTTAAGTGCATTTTACCTAGTAAGCATTAGTGAGTCCAGCACATTGTTACCAAGTCATGTGTACTTTTAGAGATCTAGATATAAAATCAGGAACAATGAAGAATGTGACTTAAAAATGCACATGTTGAATTGATTCCATGAAGGAATGCATTTGCCTTGTTTCATGCCAGAGTTTTAACCTAAGAACATCTCGTGTTAACAAATGATGGATCCCAAAAGCAGAAAACCAAACCAACAGCAATGGGTCAACCACTATACACATTATACTGTGCACGAATAAACTCCAAAGATACACACATATTTTTCTATTTCATGGCATTTTGCTGTTTAATCATTGGATCTGCTTAGTTCAGAGGGCTCTGATTGATTTCTTGAAAGATCAGCATCAAGGTTTTTTAAAGAGCAAGTCACCCCCTACCAGAGTCTTACTCTACTCCCACTTCCTCTTTGAAAAAATGCAGAAAATGCTGTTGCCTGGCAGACTGACAGGGTGGCGCCGCTAACAAATACACACACACAGGCTCACAACCGCATTGTAACCTCATAATGTACCAGCTAACATCATAGTGTACTTCTTAGCTGATAGCGATGGCAGATTTTAATTCAAATGCAGTGCAGAATTTTTACCTGACGACTGCACAACACTGACAGTTTTAGGCAGAATATTTAAATTTTAACTAAGATTCACTAAGTGCCAAATTACTGACTACACGTGTCTACAGCACGATTACACACTCATTTATATGGTTTATCAGCAAAAAAATAGTTGATTAGGGGGTGACTTGCTCTTTAAAGAGAGCTTGAAGGCATGATGGTGGCTCAAATATTACTTTGGTGTCAGATGAGCATGTCTTTTCTCTAAACTCGTGGGGAGTACAAGTACTTTTTTCAGGCCAAGGTTGAAGCGGTGAAAGTTGATAAAGCCAAAAGAGGTGCTTCACATAGTTTTAGTTCGTCACTAGATGTCTATCTATAACAGAAGAAAGTCCAACAAGGAAGTATTTACAGTTGCTTCCATGGGAACTAAAGCCAGCTCCAACCTTCAAATCTGCATGAGCAGAGCAGAACAGAATGTCTTTACTCAGAATCAGTACTAAACTTTTGATAAGAATTTGTTTGTTTTAAACAACGTTTGTGTTAACAGATAAATCGGGAGTTTAACTTTGAGACACTGATTCAATAAATCAGCACTGAGCTACAAAACAATAACACTGGTTTGACTGAAACTTTAAACTGCTGATATGAGGGAAGAAGTTCCCACCCTTCCTTGTTTCCGTCACTATCTAAGTGCTGACGATTCAAATTCAGAAAAATGTTCAGCACAAGAGTCCGTCAGCAGCCCCTGGGATATGGGGAGCCAATTGTAAAATAATAATCTAATGATTGTCAGCAGTGTTTTACTACATTTAGCTTTAAATAAAGAGAATAACACAGAATTTCAGGATACTATCTAAACATAAAGTCAACAACTTTAGTATCAAAACCAAACATCGTGTTAAATCTGAATATGCAGAGTCACATATAAAAATACAAGAATATATTCAAAAATATATTTGATATGTAGAATAAGATTTTAATGTAAATGTCTTAATATTTAAGGCAGATTTTAAATACATATAATGACATATATATATATATATATATATATATATATATATATATATATATATTTAGAATAAAACATAAAAATATACTGAAATCTAAACTTTAAGAGTAAATTATAATATTTAGTCACATCAAATTAATCCTAATAATTATTAATTAGTAAAGTTACATCAAAAAATAAGACTAAAATCTAAGGATAAGAAGTTAAATTCAAATTTGTGAATAAATATAAAAATATAAATGTATTCTGAAAAAGCATTTGACATTCAGAATCAAAATTATATTTGATCCTAAACATGCCAGAAGTCAGAATAAATGTTTTATCTAGAAATTTAGAATACAAATGTAAAATATGAAGTTAAGTCAAAATATTAAAGTTAAAGAGCAAGTCACCCCCAAATCAACTTTTTTCCCCTGATAAACTAAATAAACGAGTGTCTAATCATGCTGCAGAAACGTGTAGTCCATGGTTTTGCACTTTAGTGCATTTTAGTTAAAATTTTAATTTTCTGCCTATAACTGTCAGTGTTGTGCCGTTGTCAGGTAAAAACTCTGCACTGTATTTGAATTTAAATCTGCCACCGCTATTGGCTAAGAGGTATACTATGATGTAAACTGGTACATTATGATGTCACAATGCTGTGGTGAGCCTGTGTGTGTGTGTATTTGTTAGCGGCTCCGCCCTCTCGGTCTGCCAGGCAACAGCATTTGTTGCATTTTTTAAACATGAAGAGAGAATGGAGTTAGACTCTGGTAGGGGGTGACTTGCTCTTTAAAGAGCAAGTCAACCCCTACCAGAGTCTAACTCCACTCCCACTTCATGTTTGAAAAATGCAACAAATTCTGTTGCCTGGGAGACCGAGAGGGCGGAGCCAGGGGCGCCGTAAAGCGGTGAAAGATTAGGAAGATTCTAAGGGCCCACAGCTGTCATTTTTTCTTCTTGTTTCTCAAGAAAACTGTATTTTTTTGACATTTTACTTTTCTGTTTCTGGTGCTGTGAAGCTTAGAGGATTTTTACTGCAATTTTTTTCACTTTTTGAGCATTTGTTATGATGCGTAGCCATGGCCACAAGCTGGTTTACAATCGGGAACAGCTGATTAACATTGGAAAGGTTGAAATAATACCTCAACTGAAGCCACAAATCCCAAATGAGCTAAAACACAAGAAGCGTGGGTGCAGAGCGGGAGCAAAACGGAGACAGAGAAAGAGGAAATTCAAACCATCTCTTCCATCGATCTTAATAGGCAATGATAAATCAGGTGCTGGTCAGCATGTGAAGCAGGGACCTGAAAAGGCTCAATAGCCTAATAACAAAGGCTGGTTCTGTTCTGGGGACGACTGTGGAACCACTGGAGGAGATAATGCAAAGGATTCTCCAGAGAATCAAGAAAATTATGGACAACCCTGAGCATTCTCTTCACAAGGCTGTCCGACAACGGAAGAGTGTCTTCAGTCAGAGGCTTCTTCAGTTTCGCTGCAACACTGACCGCTACTGGAGATCCTTCCTGCCAACAGTCATTGTAATATATAATAACTCTTTGATGACTTGATTATTATTATTATTCTGAGCTACTACAGCAATCAATTTCCCTCTGGGATTAATAAAGTATTTTTGAATTTGCATCTGAATTTGAATAAGGTGTGTAGTGTATGTTTGGCATACACAAATGTTTGTGAAATAATATTACGCATTTTTAGTTGTGTTCAATTAAACTCAAAACGAAATCTAATTAAATTATTTTACTTTTGCTCGCAGAATATCAACATGCATATAATTTGTCATCCACAAGGGGGTACTGCAGCACCCCTACTTCCCACGGCCTTGCCTGAGGGTGTTTTGTGCAGCTGAAAAGACGGGACTTCTGTAGCCACATCGATCGGTACCGGGACAGGTAGGTCCACGCTGGGCTCCGGAGACCCTTGGCAGGGTTTAAAAAACCTAAATGCGGATTTCTGGAGCTTGGATTACCATCAGAACCAGGTCAGAACGACCACCAGAAGAGACGTGCGGCTCAGCGAGCCAGTCGAGCTGGTTTCTGGGTCGGAACCACATCAGAACCACCGCAGACCTCCAGGAAAGGATCATGTGCGGCTTTTAAAAATACCAGCTCGACTGGCTCGCTGGTGCCTGGGTTGTATCCATCGACATATATACGGTTGTATCCAGCTCACAGAAGCCCACATGAGCTCCAGAACCAGATGACAGGCGTATCTCTCCCTCTCTAAGTGCTAAACTACATTACATGAACAGGGATATTCATGACTATGAGACAGCTGACAGAGGCGCATTAGTATTAATTTTATATTAACTGACCAATACTGTTTTAATTGTCTAGTACATGACAGAAATCTGTACATTATTGTGATGTTAGCACACGAGTTTAAGCTAACATCAATAACTCACCTGCTGCTCCCCTGCTGATTCTCCTCAATCTCTCTGCTTTGGCCGATGGTTTTGCCTCTGAAGTGTGCAGCAAACTCGTAACTTTATGGTTTTGGTCCATCATAAGTAGTGTTACAAATATTTAAAGTTTTCTCTGTGTCAGAGCCGGCATTAGAATCCATGTTTTTTCTCTGGATTAAGCTAACAGGACTCCCTCAGCTGACGTCACTTGGTTTGGCAAAAAAAAAAAAAAAAAAAACTCACAAAAAAGTCTCTAAAAGCCTAAATAATTTATGTATGTGTCAAAAACGTTTAAAACAAGTTTATATTATGTTTCTCTAAACATTGGTTCATGGGAATCTCTAACTTGCAATTTGCTCTTTAAGGTTTAAAACTAACCACATATTAATTACTATTTTAGATGCAACATTATATATCCCAAATAAATCTATTGAAAATGTTATTTTTAAAATGTCTCACTAATCATTTTTATATAGCTGCTAAATGTATTGGTTTTAAAAATGAATAACTTTCCAATTGGTGCCCCATACTGGCTGCCCATTCTGGAGTCACCAAACTTTCTACTCCTCTGGTTGATTTTGTAAAAGTAAGAATTCATCAACACAATGGGTATTAAGAGTTCAAAGTAGATTGGAACAGCGGTCTGCAGTAAACAACCACTTGAGACTAATTCCAGTTTAAGGCTGCAGGGAAAGTTACACAACACTGAACACAACACCATCTTTTAAGAGCCTCTTTGCGACATGCAACAGATAAACTTTTGCCTAAATTCCATGCAACACCATCTGAATGGCAGAAAAAATATAAGCATGTGATTGCAGCTTTTTTTTCTCATGTGGTTTCATTAAGTTGTTAAAAATGTCTTAGTTACGTGGTTATGAGAGAAATGCAGAAATGAAATTGTCAAGCCAGCGTCTGCTGGATTTAAACAAAGGCTGACAGGAAATAGCGGTCATAAATCAGCTGATGAGACAAAGGACATTAAAATGTGGAGTCGTTTCTTTAAGAGATGGTCCATCTCGGCTGCTGTCATCTGTTATAAAAAATATAATAACTGGGTTTATTTTTAGATCTCTAGAAGAGCCACTAACAATGATATCACCCCTACCGGAAGCAAATCTTAAAAACGGAGTCCCCGAGTATAGACGGCAGAAATAAATACACATTTTTTACCTTGTCAGACTTTGGTTTGTTTTGAAGGAGATGCTCCAGGTACAAATCGGAAAGGGCTGTCCGGACGCTGCTCACCGGCTCTAGTATGACCGCGGGTTCGTTTTTATTGGATTTCAACGTCATCTCCCCTGTTAGTTAGAAAAAATAAAATAAAAAAAACACTGAACCCGACTTGCCCCCGTTCAAGGTCCAAGGGAGGCTTGATGAAACCGCTGATAAGCAGTCCTGAGGAAGAGATAAGTCAGCGTCTGAGACAAAAGTCCAAGGTTTTGATAAGTAAGTGGTGCGGGGACACACTGACGAAGCAAGTAAACACGCATCTGACGGACTGCTGCTGCTCTCTGAACAGCAGGCTCGTGCTGCCTTCACGTGCTTCCCGGAAGCTCTGACAATCCAGTGTTAAAACTATTTTAAACGCAACACTCATAATTTAAACCTATCGCAAATTATGTTAAAGTTACACATTTTAACCTGCAGATTCTATGTTTTTCTAAATAATCACAAGAGCAGCGCGTGTGAAGTTCGTTTTAACAGTTTAACACATTTTTGACATTACATTTTGAAAAACCACAACGTTGATCGTTTCTACGGTTTAATGTGGATGATCCTTTATTTGTATGATTTACCGTAAGCAGTTTTCTAGAACGTTTCAAATTAAAGCATACATTTCCGAGAGTCCATGAATGCATCATTACCGCAGCATTTTTTTCATAGTGGCTGCTCCAGGAAGCGCAACTGCGCCGTCCAAAAGAACACGGTGATCCCAGCAAGCGCACCCGACTGCGTGGGGACCATCTGGGGGTGTTTCCTAAAAACATGATTCCAACACTCTCCAGGAGACACTGACTGCATGTTGTAAATGCATTCATGCCCTTTATCCTAATATTCTCCTGAAATCTGATTCTACAGTTTGGAAGTGGCTTATATTTTCAAATAAAAAAACTACATGATCTTTTTTTTATTTTCAGTAGCTACAATATGAGTTTAGTTTGGAAACATTCATCACACGGATATTACAGAATTGTATTTATTTGTTGCATGAAATGATTTTGTTTCAACTGTGTGCATCTTTTCTGGGTTTTAGTGCCAGATCTGTTATATACTGTAAACACTGGAAACCAGAATGTTACTCAGCAAAATAAAGAAATAAAGGTGAATAGTGCTTTAATGAACTCCAGAGGGAGACACTGAGCAAATCTACAAAGATCCATCAACAACAAGTTTATTTTAGAGCTCAGTCTGAACTTTTAATGCAGACAGCTGCCAAAAATGAACAAAATGAACCAGTTCATCTTTTGTTACTGAAATTAAGCCATTCCCATTTACATTTTATAAGCTGTCTTAAAATCTGTTTAATTTAGCAAATTTCAAATATAAAAAAAACATGAGTAAAAGTAATATTAATTACCATTTTACATGACTTTCTGAACAGTCTGCTTGGAGAAATAGTGTTGGATCGATGGGCTAATTTAGTCCAACAGCCCTCTAGACCCAAGTTTATTGCTGCCATCTTAAAACTGCTTGAATCTATAAAAATGCCAGTTAAGACATTTCTTTATAGGTTTCAGATTATAGCCTAATTATTTATGATGAAAATACCAACAAGTTTTAGCCAGACTACTTAAAGTAATGTCAAAGTGTAATATGCTGCTGTTGGTTATATTTACACCTGTAAAAAAAAAAAAGCGAAATTCCATGTAACAGCTGTGTAAAGCTTATAACACACCAGCTTCACACAGAATAGTTAGCTGTTCAATCAAGTTAATAGTTTTTATCTTATCTTTATACCTAAATTATATGTTTGGTATCCAATTTAGGTGGCAAAAGAAGACTTTTATTGCAACGGAAAACATGTTTCATATACTAATAAAGCTTTAAATCAGTCCTGCAGGATCCAAACCTTTTTTGTCTTCACTGAGAATATTCGAGGTAGTAATTACTTATTAATTAGCAAAGAAACACATTTCAAATGTAACATTTTTAAAGGAAACAGTGTAATGTTGCTCTCCTGCTATGATTAATCCAGCATTCTGTTTTTGAAATAATAATAATAATAGAAATAATAATAATAATAATAAGGTTGCAATTTGTAAGTGCACATCACCTGGTAGAGATAACTACAGCAGCCACTTCGACCCCTGATTTGGAACCAAGTTTAGACAAAAACAAATCAAAACATAATGTAGAATAACATATAACATTACTAATATGATAAATGGCATGCAGTTATAGCGCCTTTCACAGTCAGAGGACTTGCTTTACACTACAGCAGGGCTATTCAATTCCAGGCCTTGAGGGCCGGTCAGCACATTTTAGTGGTTTCTCTGGTCCAACACACTTGATTGAGTGGTTCAATCATCTGTTTGGCAGCTCATCAGCTCTATGGAAGCCTGTTAATCACCTACTAATTGAAATCAGATGTGCTAAAGCAGGGTTAAAACCAAAACGTGCTGGATACCGGTCCGTGAGGCCTGGAATTGAATAGCCCTGCACTAAAGTGTATCGTTCATCTATTCACACCCACATTCACACCCTAGTGATGAACTACAATGTAGCTACAGCTGCTCATGGGGCTCACTGACATAATAACATGACTTTGTACTAACACATTTAGTTTTAGTTTATTTGTGTGTGTTTCTTGTTTTTATTAGGTTTGGTATATGCTTCAGTAATATGGCAATGCACTTTATGAAAACGCAAAAAATAATCCAATTTATTGAAGATGTTTTTTAAAAGCAGCTTCATTTCTACATAAACTATCAGTAATATTATTTTCCTAAATGAAGCTCTGTCATCAAGTAGGTAAATTGATCACGCACGTGCGCGCGCGCACACACACACACGCACACACACACACACACACACACACACACACACACACACACACACACACACACACACACACACACACGTGTTTAGTGAAATTCTGTTAAACAGCTTGGCAGCTTCCACATCCGGGTACTGTGAGGGTCCGACTCGGAGAGCCTAACATAACAGCACGCATGCGTGAACTCAAAATGCGGCTGTAAAAGTGTCAGCTCTTCGAAAGATGGCGTGTTTAATAATTAAACTCATCAAACTAAGTAGTTTTGTGACAACCTGAAGGACCCAGGAGGACTCAGACGCACTGCTGTATCTCTCCTCTGCCGAACTTGACCTCTCGGTCCCAGGTACCGGTGGAACTGATTTTTACCCGAGATGTACAGAACTCTCCAGGCGCTGAGACTGGCTCGGCTGCTACCAGCCGCCAAAAACCCGAACAAGTCATGGGGACATGTCCGGGCTAGGACAAGTTCTGCAAGTTTTCACCTACTAGAAGACTGTCTGGGTGAGTATAGCTGCCGTCATACCCGCTTGGTGCTATTTCAACCCCATTTTGACCACATGTGATACCAGCAGAGCTGAACTATGAAGGGAAGCCGATGATCTTTAACTACGTGTGGCTGCGGGACCACTGCCGCTCGGAGTCCTCATACAACTCATCAACCAGCCAGAGAGTCGGGGACACCGGGAGTATAGAGCTCTCCATCCGCCCAGAGAGCTCCGCTGTGGAGGACGATCATCTCATCCTCACCTGTAAGTTCTCAGAAAGTGCCGCACATGTTGGAAGCTGAACGGGACAGACTTACTATAAGTTTAGTAAAAAAATAGTCATCAAAAAAAATTACTCAAGTGTGGTAAAACAAGTATTTGGTAAAAAAAAAAAAAGGCTACTTAATTACTGAGTAATTAATCACAACGCCTGACTTAAAAAAAATTTTATTATTGGAAAACATTAACAGATAGATCAGCACTTTCTGTCTTTTACCTGAACAAATATGTAACAACATAAGAACAAGCAGCAGGAGCCGAGAGGAGACAGTGTTCTTGTTAAATAGGATCGTTCAGCTCACTGTGCGTTTATTTTAGGCTCTTATTGGGAAGATTTTGTTCTGACATAAACTGATTCAGCCAGGAGGCCTTGGGTTTGTCACGGTGTGGGGGTGTTTGGATCCAAAATCAGGGGTGAGTTGGAGCACACAGAGCTGCTTCGTTCATAGTTCGGCGTGTGCTGTAGAGGTAAAATAAAAATTCTAGGGGTGCACCGATTGCAGTTTTTGGCCGATCACTGATCTAGAGAAAAACCTGACTTGCCGAAACAGATTTTTTTTCTTAACGAAAATCAGATGACATCATTGTTTCAATTTCCTTTTATTGAGAAAACCAATATGAATACTCATGAAACAGTACCAGTTTCAACTGGACATGAGGTAATGTTCTCAAATATAAATGAGCATATTCGGCATTGCTGGTTGAACTACAAAATCTTATTTGTTCCATTAGACTTTAATTTTTTTAATTTATAAAACAAAGTTTTTTTTCCCATTTTGACACACCTGTCCAAAAAAAATTAATAAACATTTACTATGAGTGCACCGATTGCAGTTTCCAGCCAATCACCGATCTTGAAAAAAACTCGAGATCAGGGCCAATAGATTGGTTGGCCGATAGATCGGTGCACCCCTAAAAAGTCCTTTAATTATGTGCTCGGAAGACAACCAGGACAAACACAGAGCAAGCAACTGGAGGATAAAACAGACGAACAGAGACAACTGACTCGGGAACAAACAGGGCTTAAATACAGGAGGACAGGTAATCAGGGAAACAAGAGGCAGGTGAAACTAATTAACTAAAGACACAGGAGCAGGGACCTGAACGTGACAGGGGGCTTGTTCGAGATGAGCCAGTTCTGCACATATTTGATCACCGGTGATCGGCGCGCAGTGCTTGCCGGTTAGATTTGTGTCCGACTTAACGCCGACTTGCTCTGACGTCATGCATACGTAGGCAACGATGAACCGTTTGAGATCAAGGCGGCTGCAGATTTTGGAGCAAGGCGCTGCAGTTGCTCTCCACCGGCTGCAAAACCTAGGGCATGACGGGACACGCCTGGCTCTCACCTGATCTAAGACCTGATTGGTTCACATTTTGATCCAAACATCCGGTGGTAGAACATTAAATGTTAGTTGGTCACATGTGTTGTGTAAATCATGTAACACAGATGATGACAACTATTTAAGCCATACAGAGAAATGTGTTTTTTGTTATTTGTCACGTTTCCTTTGAGCACACGTTCTTCTTCCGGCTCTTGGAGGGTTCAGACGCTTTTTTCCTCCTCTCCTACTCTGAGATGGAGCTGAATTCAACAACTGAAAACGTTGAAAGAGTGTACACCCGGCTTTAAATGATGAAAGCTTAACGTGTGTTTTAAGGACATACTGTAAAAGTAGGGGGGCAGCTAGGGAGGGGGTGAGGCCCAACAGCAAAGGGGCAGTTGCCCCCTCCTGGTCCCTGTAGATCCGCCCCTGCAAGGATTGAGTATTTGGATATCGGTGACGTTGTTTGTGTTTTCCAGGGCAGGGTGGCCATGTGTCAAAGTACCGACTGAGCTGGTTAGCGGAGAACAGCTATGAAGAAAAGAAGCAAGCTACTGTCCACCCACGCATCCTGTGGAATTCAGACATCTATAAAAATGCAAACATCACATCAGCCAATTGGGAGAAGTTCATGAGCTGTGACAGCGAGCTGAAGAAGTTCCTTCACGACTACCTTCAGTACGGAATTGCTTTTGTAGATGGCGTCCCAGCTACAGTGGAAGCCACCGAGGCAGTTACTCAGAGAGTCAGTCTTATCAGGTATTACCTCTTCTTTTTGTATTATTTAGAATTATGAATGAAAATTATTTGGAACCCACTTAACTTTTTCTGTGTGTGTCTTTCTAAGGGAGACTACATATGGGAGAATGTGGTCCTTTACATCAGATTTTTCTAGAGGGGATACCGCCTACAGTCAACTGGCTCTGGACCGTCACACGGACACCTCATACTTTCAGGAGCCATCTGGGTAGGTGAACAAGAGACTAGTTCCAGAAATATAAACACAATAGTAGAATTGCATTAAGGAATCATCAAACATGAATTGGGACTGTTTTAGTAAAACTGAGCAGTTTGTATTCATACCTTTTGTTTTTGGTGAACCATGTAAGAAATAAGTTCTTTCATTTTATATATCAGGACATAGAAAATGACCTGATCTTTACCAAATTATAGAAGTGTTCATTTTCTTCTTCTCAGGATTAGATGTCCCAACAAGTCCCCCTCTAGGTCAGACCTGTTCAGCTCCATCTCAGATTGTACAGACCTCGGTTAGCAGGTTAAAGGTCATGGCAGGAAAATTAGAGAAGGAGTGAGCAAATGTTTGGAAATATTACAGGAGAAAGCCTTTTCTCTGCAAATAGCGTAACTTAGATTTGTAGCGTTTTACCTGAATGAACAAAAAGATCTGAGACCAAAGCAGAGATATCACCCATAATGCACAGCTGTATGTTTAGAGAAAAGCAAACACTGCATCAGCATTGTGAGATCCTCTGAAGATGAAATTTCCAGTTTAAATGTAAATCAACCAATTTTAGCTATCGGGCTGATATCTAAAATGTATTTTTTATATCCAAAGCAGTTAGCTATGGTTGGTTAGTTGCTTAGTAGTTGCAGCTTCAGTGGCTAGCAGGTACTGACTCTCTTACAGATTTAATTTAACCGATATTTATACACTATTTACAAAGGAAAAGGCTTGTTTTACATTTATATTGAAACTTATACGTGTGAAATATAACTTTTATCTCATGTGTCAGATGACATAACCGCAGCGGCCACATGAGGTAAGTCTTTTCCATGTAATCGTTTTCTTTGACCAAGGAAGGACAGTGTCCTCATAAGCAAGACGCCTGGCCTAGCAAGACGCCGCCTTGGTAGGCCAGGCGTCTCGGCATTGAGAAACACCCCATCTGTCTGATGGCTGAAGTTTGGACCAAACTGGATCATAAAGCAAGACAATGGACCCAAACACAGTAGTAAAGCTAAAGAGAGTGACTGAAAGGTAAAAGAATAAGGGTCAAAGTCCAACCCGCCACCTGACTGAAGTTCTGCTCAGAAACAAGTGTCTGCACACCTCGAAGAACTGATGCAATGCTGTAAATAAGGTTGGGCCAGAACTCCATAAAGTCAGGTTATTTTTTATTTTGGCGTTGTTCTTATTCCATCCATCCATCCATCCATCCATCCATCTATCCATCCATCCATCCATTTTCATCCGCTTATTCTGAGTCGGGTCGCGGGGCAGTAGCCTAAGGCGAGAGGCCCAGACTTCCCTCTCCCCAGCCACTTGGGCCAGCTCCTCCGGGGGAATCCCAAGGCGTTCCTTGGCCAGGTGAGAGACATAGTACCTCCACCGTGTCCTGGGTCTACCTTTAGGTCTCCTCCCAGTTGGACGTGCCCAGAAAACCTCACCAGGAAGGCGTCCAGGAGGCATCCTGACCAGATGCCCGAGCCACCTCAACTGGCTCCTCTCGATGTGGAGGAGCAGCGGGTCTACTCCGAGCCCCCCCGAATGACCGAGCTTCTCACCCTATCTCTAAGGGAAAGGCCAGCCACTCTTCGGAGAAAACTAATTTCGGCCGCTTGTATCTGCGATCTTGTTCTTTCGGTCATTACCCAAAGCTCATGACCATAGGTGAGGGTAGGAATGTAGATCGACCGGTAAATTGAGAGCTTCGCCTTCTGACTCAGCTCTCTCTTCACCACAACAGACCGGCACAACGCCCGCATCACTGCAGATGCAGCACCAATCTGCCTATCTATCTCCCGCTCCAGTTTTCCCTCACTCGTGAACAAGACCCCGAGATACTTAAACTCCTCCACTTGGGGCAGGACCTCGTCCCTGACCTGGAGAAGGCATTCTACCCTTTTCCGAATCAAGACCGTGGTCTCAGATTTAGAGGAGCTGATTCTCATCGCAGCTGCTTCACACTCGGCTGCGAACTGCTCCAGCGAAAGCTGAAGATCACGCTCTGATGAAGCCAACAGGACCACATCATCTACAAAAAGCAGAGACCTGATCCTCAGACCACCAAAACGGATGCCCTCCACGCCTTGGCTGCATCTAGAAATCCTGTCCATAAAGGTTATGAACAGAATCAGTGACAAAGGGCAGCCTTGGCGGAGTCCAACTCTCACTGGGAACGAGCCTGACTTACTGCCAGCAATGCGGACCAAGCTCTGACACCGGTCATACTCAAGACTCAAGACAACTTAATTAGTCCCCGAGGGGCAATTCGACACAGCATTGTGAAGCAGCCGGCACTAAAATCTCTAAATTCTAAAAACACATCCAAATTACACATTTGTAAAACCCATAAAACCTATATACACATTCATGTCATAACCTCACATGTGAATGACCAACAATGAGTAAAACTTTGGCTCACTCACATTCACACACACACACACACACACACACACACACACACACACACACACACACACACACACACACACACACACACACATGTAACTACATGCACGCACACATACAAGTAATGCACACTCCCCCTATCTGCACTGAGAATTAAGAAGAAGCACAGCTCTGGGAACAAAGGAACTTCTCCTCCTCTGTGTTTTACAGCATGGGCATCGAAGTCGGCATTTGGAGGGCAGCCACTCGAAAACAGTATGAAGAGGGTGTGATGGGTCTTTAATGATTTTCTGTGCTAAACTTCCTGTATGCTGGTCATATTGAGAAGTTAAGCTTCGCAGTGGTAGTCCAATGATTTGAGAGCACACCTTGACGGTGCTTTGTAGATGGTTTCTATACTGCAGGCTGACAGAATAAAACCAACGGGGGATGGGAAATGTGATAATACTCTCTATAAAAGAATAATAGAAAGTCAGTAAAATGTCCTTCCTGACTCCAAATGAATTCAACTTCCTCAGGAGGTAGAGTCATTGCTGGCACTTTCTGAGGATGTCCTCGGTGTTGGAAGCGAATTTCAGGAGGTGATCAATGGTGGTCCCTAGATATTTATACTCTTCAACCAGCTCCACTGGCTGTCCATGAATGATAGTGGAGGCAGCGGTAACCAGCGCTCTCTGTTTGTTTGAGAAGGACACCACCATCTCCTTGGTTTTGGTCACATTCAGCTCCAGGCATGCAGTGTCACACCAATCCGCAAACTCCTGCAGGACCTGCCCGTGGTAAACAGTAGGGCCTGACAGAAGAGACAGGAGCACAGTGTCATCAGCGTATTTTACCATGTAACTGTCAGGCTGGATGGATCTACAGTCATCTGTGTAGAGAATGAAGAGTAGAGGAGACAACACGCAGCCCTGTGGGGTGCCAGTAGAGGTGTAAAGAAGGTCCGAGAGAGTGTTGTTAACCAGAACTCTTTGTGATCTGTTAGTTAAGAAATCCAGGATCCATAGGATTATCTGATCATCCAGGTGAAAAAGAGAAGTGAGCTTGCCAGCCAGGATGTGAGGTTGCAGGGTGTTAAACGCTGAAGAGAATTCAACAAACAGCAGTCTAGCTGAAGAGTTTGGGATCTCCAGATGTCTGTGTACCATGTCTAAGATGAATGTTTTTGCATCATCAACACTTCTCCCTTTCCGATACGCAAACTGAAGTGGATCTAACTGAGGGTATAAGGCTCTGATAATGTGATGTTTCAAGATCCTCTCCATAGCCTTCATCAGTAAAGAGGTCAAAGCCACAGGTCGAAGATCATTGAGAGCCTTAACCCTGCTGGTCTTGGGGATGGGTATGACCGTAGAGTGTTTCCAGAGCTGGGGAACTGTGCTTGTATCCATGGAACTCTGGAACAAGGTCTGAAACACACCCCCTAGTTGCTGTGCACAGTTTCTGAGAACTCTGCTGCTGATGTGGTCTGGGCCAGGTGCACTTTTCTCCTTAGTCTGCTTAAGAGCTTTCACAACCTCCTGCATGGTAAATCTGAATCTGAATGCAGGGACCTAACAGCCCGTATCAGAGGGCCTGGTACCCCATACTCCCGGAGTACCCCCCCCCCACAGGGCCCCCAGAGGGACACGGTCAAACACCTTCTCTAAATCCACGAAGCACATGTAGACTGGTTGGGCAAATTCCCATGCACCCTCCGGGATACCCCTAAGGTTATAGAGCTGGTCCAGTTTCCCAGAGCCAGGACGAAAACCACATTGCTTCTCCTGAATCTGAGGTTCAACAATCCGACGAACCCTCCTTTCCAGAACCTCTGAATGGACCTTGCCAGGAAGGCTCAGGAGTGTGATCCCCCTGCAGTTGGAACACACCCTGCGGTTTAAATAAGGGAACCACCACCCTGGTCTGCCAGTCTAGTGGGACTGCCCCCGATGTCCACGCAATATTGCAGAGCCGCGTCATCCAACACAGCCCCACAACATCCAGAGCCTTAAGGAACTCCGGGCAGATCTCATCCACCCCTGGAGCCTTGCCACAGAGGAGCTTTTTAACCACCTCAGTGACCTCAGCACCAGAGATTTGAGAGGCCAACCCAAAGTCCCCAGACTCTGCTTCCTCACTGGAAGACGTGTCGGTGGGATTGAGGAGGTCTTCGAAGTATTCTGCCCACCGATCCACAACGTCCTGAGTAGAGGTCAGCAGCACACCATCCCCACTATAGATAGTGTTGGTAGCAAACTGCCCCCCCCCCCCCCCCCCCCCGCCACCGGCGCCAGATGGTGGACCAGAATCTCCTCGAAGCCGTATGGAAGTCCTGCTCCATGATTTCACCAAACTCCCCCCATGCCTGGGTTTTTGTCTTCGCGACCACCCAAGCCACGTTCCGCTTGGACTGCCGGTACCCGTCAGCTGCCTCTGGAGTCCCGCAGGCCAAAAAGACCTGATAGGACTCTTTCTTCAGCTTGACATCATCCCCAACCACCGGTGTCCACCAGCGGGTTCGGGGGTTTCCACCTTGACAGGCACCGATGATCCTGCGACCACAGCTCCGGTTGGCCACCTCAACAATGGAGGCACGGAACAAGGTCCATTCAGATTCAATGTCCCCCGCCTCCCCCGGAACATTTTGGAAGCTCTTTCGGAGGTGGGAATTGAAGCTCCTTCTGACAGGAGACTCTGCCAGACGTTCCCAGCAGACCCTCGCGATACGTTTGGGCCTGCCTGGTCTGACCGGCATCCTCCCCCACCATCTGAGCCACCTCACCACCAGGTAGTGGTCAGTTGACAGCTCCGCCCCTCTCTTCACCCGAGTGTCCAAGACATGTGGCCGCAGGTCAGATGAAACAACAACAAAGTCGATCATCGAGCTGCGGCCTAAGGTATCCTGGTGCCCTGAGCGCATATGGACACCTTTATGTCTGAACATGGTGTTCATTATGGACAATCCATGGCTGGCACAGAAGTCCAATAACAAAACACTACTCGAATTCAGATCAGGGGGGCCGTTCCTCCGAACCACACCTCTCCAGGTCTCACTGTCGTTGCCCACTTGAGCGTTAAAGTCCCCCAGCAGATCCCTGATCCCTCACCTAGGACCTGTTTGCCATGGGTGACCCTACCAGAGGCAGAAAGCCTCAGACAACTTAGCTCCTAGGATCATTGAGACACTCAAACCCCTCCACCATGGTAAGGTGGCAGCCCAGGGAGAGGTCGTTGTTCTTGTTTTATAATACAAATGAAGTCAGATAAAATTAAAATACTTACATTTCATTTGGTTCTAATCAGTAAAACATTTAAATTAAATGCACATTTACTTGTCTATAACCATAATAGATAGATAGATTCCAGCTCCCACCAGAGGTATTCTGCTGTTGTGTCCTTGGGCAAGACACTTCACCCAACTTGCCTGTGTTGGTGGTGGTCAGAGGGGCCGACTGCGCCAAATGGCAGCCTCGCCTCTGTCAGACCGCCCCAGGGCGGCTGTGGCTACGTAGTAGCTTACCTTCACTGGCAGTGTGTGAATGTAAGAGTTCATGCAAGTGTCTTTGAGTGTCCTAATAAAGTGCTATATAAGTTTGATTATTATTATTATTATTATTATTATTATTATAACCGTGGTGTAAATAATTTCTCCCACAGAATCCAGGTTTTCCACTGTCTCAAACATGAAGGAACAGGGGGGAGGACACTTCTTGTGGATGGCTTTTACGCTGCTGAGAAACTGCGCCAGCGCTCCCCTGAAAGCTTTGATTTGCTCTGCCGTGTGCCCATCAGCCACGAGTACGTTGAAAACACGGAGAGCCACCGAAACCACATCAGAGGTGTCGGCCCCATCCTGAGCGTCTATCCTTGGAACAATGAACTCTTCCTGATACGGTGCGTTCAGGAATTTCAGTTGAGTTCTATTACTACTACTGCTACTTACATCCCAGTAGTTTATCAGAATTGTTGTTTTTATTCGCTGCAGATATAACAACTATGATCGAGCTGTGATAAACACAGTCCCTCATGACACTGTCAAGCGGTGGTACGAGGCACATCGTGAGCTGACCTCGGAACTCAGGCGGCCAGAAAACGAACTCTGGGTTAAACTGGATCCAGGAAAAGTAAGAATTCCCCAGAAATTTGAATCGGTTCAGTTAAATATTTGCATCCTAAATGGAAAATATAAGACATGTTAATTATTTTTATAGTTTCTGAATAACTAAATTAAAATAAATCACATTTTTATTACCTATAGAATCTAAACACTAGTACTTTTTGCCCCTGAGGTGATTTTTATTGACAACTGGAGGGTCCTGCATGGGAGAGAGTCTTTCAGCGGCCTGAGGCAGCTTTGTGGCTGTTATCTGACCAGAGACGACGTCCTCAGCACTGCACGCTGCTTCTCTCTGCTGCCGTGACTCCGTGCAGCTTTTCACTTCCACATCTGTTGGATCATAATGAAAAATAGGAATAATGAAATTTGCACAGTTTTTTAGGAATCTTTTTTGAATGTTTCATAAACTACGAAACTATTAAATGCGTAAATCCTCAAATTGCTTCCTTGTGTTGACCTTTCAGAGGAGGCGGCAACATAACCCCTCAGAACACGACAGCAAGCCATTTGATCATTTATCAGACTGTTTAGAGACTTTAATGTCGTAAGCAGGTTTAATATCTTTTTAGGAATAAAGTATAAATATTGTAATGGTGTCTGCCTTAGCTGTGTGATGTCAAAAGGGTCCATTACAATCAGTGAGATAAACCTAAACATATTTTCAGATAATCCAGTTTCCGTATGTGTTGCTTTCCAGGGCATCAAACATGGCAGAAAAAGTTGGGAAACTTGTGTTGTGTGGGGAGCCTAATTTGTCGTCTTTACTGTGAGGTAAAGCTCTGGATCCTGCATGATAGGAATGAGTTCCACAGCTAAATGATAAAAATGTGCAGTATTCTGTAGCGACATGAATGGCCTCATTTGTGACCCAAAGGTCACACTTCCTCAGCTGGGTCAGGCTGTCCTGGCTGTATTTCTATCTACATATTATCCATCACAGGAGATGCAAAGTCTGCTGTAAACCATCTTTAATCTGACCTTTATCTGACTGCTGTTCCATCCACAAGATGAAGGACACTTCAAGATTTAAAAGAATCATTTTTAATCAACTCTTTTCACTGTCTTATTACAGTGTCCATAAAAAATCATCATGGTTCATTATAAATGTATTTAGTTACTGAAATGAATTATTATTCTTTGGTTAATAATAATTATTATTTATGATAATCAGTAATGTTTAACAATGACAAGAAGGTCATGTGTACTTATACACACCATGCAGGACACAGAAATCAGGGCAAAGGTAACTGCACTCACATGTCTTTGTTCCATAACACCAAAGCTTTCTATCTCTGAGAGGGTGTGTTCTGAGGTATGTTAAAACCTAAACTCCTAAGTTCAAGTTTAGTTCTTGAGCTCACCAAAATTCTCTCCGTGGCATGAGAGTCGAGGGGATCCGGTTGGCCGCTTAAAACCTCTACTAAGCTTTTCTGTCATGCTGATAGAATTGTTGCAACAAGAAACGCCATCTGCAACAAGCTGACACAAAACTCCTTCAGAGTTAATTTAAGACAAACTCCACACCTGTGTGCCTGCGGCAACTCTAGGACCAGAAAGTCGGTTACCACTGGTCCCCCCTATCGGACCGAGTACCAGAGGCTGACCAACATCCTCCCTTGACCTCCGGATCCAAACAGACAGTCGCCTGAACGGTGAGGTAGAACACAAGATTGTGTCTGTATGCCTGTTTCTTATTAAGAAATAATTTAGCTTAGCTGCAACCCAAACTCTTTCACCCAGAATGCGTTTTCTCTCTCTGAGATAGAAAACTTCTGAGACTTACATTCACACATCCAAACACACACACACATTTCATTTTTAGTTTTCATCCAGACAGGTTGCTTTAATACCAAGTATTAATATCAAAACTTTTATAAATTGTCATTTATGAATTGTCTTTTAAATAAGCGTCTTTAAATTGTTGGTGATAAATTCTTTACTTTTAAACCTGACTCTTCTTTGAAATAAAAAACAGAATAATGTATATTTGGTCACTGAATGAGCAAAAATCTATTTAAATCTTCTGAATTATAAATAAACTTTTGCTATTAATTGAAATTTCTTAAATTAAATATTAATCTTTGGATTAAATATAGACCAAGCCAGTTGGTGTTTGAACTTCTATCGATTATATAAATATCCGTGGATATATATATATAAAATATAAGTTTCATTTGCCAATTCATTTGATCTTTATCAGGTTTTAGCAAAGCTGAATAGCAAACAGCGTTAAATTCTAGTTATGTAGATTAACCACGCTACAATTCCCCTGTTGGTGTTCCATCTTGTTTAGAGCTTCTAGTGCTTTGCCAGTCACAGGAGGACATTTTATTTACTGTGTGATGACCCCGCTTAGGGCACTATCTGTGATCCACACTTCTACCTGCTTAGAACCAGAGAGGAGTCATCCTGCATTCCTAAAGGCCCTGGATGTTGTTGTTCTCTCATGGGGGACACATTTAATTAATCCTAGGTAGAAAGGGTTAATATCTGTGTTATTATTGACCTTGTTGGAGATAGACCTCAGCAATGATTCAGATGAGTCATGGCTGCTGTTAGAGGACTCCATCTGCTGGACCACATCACCATCGCTCTTGTTCTCTTGCCAGATTAATCTTGTGATCTTTAGCTTTGGCCAACAGCAGCTAAGTTTTCACATATTACGTTTATTATTGCATTGACATTTATTTCCTTAAGTGAGAGATCAAATACTGACCTAGCTGTCCCGCATAGTTTCTTACTGAATAATGAGCCCTTGATGGTATAGGGATGAAATTCCCTTTGTCTCTCTGCAGAAACGTGTTAGTGCTTTCCTAAATACAACCAGAAAATATGAATCAGTATGGATCCATATTTAAAACATGGTGTTTTGGTCCTTTTTGTAATGTTTAGGACATTCCCCATCCATTCATTCATCCCAAAATAAATGATACGAAAAAGGTTTATTGTTCAGCTTTAAATGTCACAAAACAAAATTCATACATTTGAGAGATAATTCACAGTTAGATGTCGCATCTTTATCTCAGCATTAAATTATTTAAATATAAAAGGAAAAACTTGTATTTTAATGAATACAATAGAAATATGAGCTCCTTTGAAACTCATAGAATCAAAAAAATCAAAAATTCAACATTCTGTTATGATTATTTAATTATTTGTTTATAAATGTTTAGTTTTATTTGTTTTGTTTGGCCAGTCTTTCAACTTCCTCAGCATAGTCATTGGTTGCCATGGAAACACAAGCAGGAGACTCATAGCTCTGAGTGCTCCCTCTAGTGGACAGGGAGTTTTTACATTTCGCATTTTAGATCCCAGTTTTAAAATTAAAATCTGTAGAAAACCCTAAAATCTCACTTCTAGCATATAAACGGTGGAGGTTTTCTGTCCAGCATTTTTCTTACTTTGCAGATATTCTCAAAAATGTGCTAATCCCCAATTATTAGTATTAGTATTAGTATTAGTATTATTTTATGTATTGTTATTAAAATAAAATTATTATTATTATTATTATTATTATTTTATTTTATTCTGACCACCATCACAAAGTTCTGAACAGACGTGTGAAGTGTGATCTTACAGAACCAACCATAAACAAACAATTCAGTCCAGAAGTTTGTGTTTTCATGCTTAAGCATAGACTGGTAATTATGGACATGGAAATGACGTAAGGAAATTTATTGACGGAAAAAAAATGCCAAGGTGATTTATGACTCGTTGCTGCTGGTAAATTCTCTTTCGTATCATAAAATATGGCAAGCCAAGTTATTATATAGTTAGGCCCTTAAAAAGATATCCATAGTTCAGTCTTTCTCGCCAAAGTGAACATTTAATTTTTCACAGCTATATAAAATCGGAGCCAAGATCTGTTTGCTCTGATAAAAATGTTTAAAAGTGTAAATGTAATTTGAACCTTCTCTCTAGATTTATTAGCTCTAGATTTTCTTTCCATAAAAATGTATATTGATCCTGTAGTTTATACATCTGTATTTTTTACGATATGCTGCTCCTTTTCTGAAATATCATGAAAGTTCCATGCCAGACTAAGCTGGTGAAATCATCCCTGATGTTAATCATTACAAGAGCATCTATGCATATTCAACATACGGAAACTGCGTCCTGAACATTTTCATGAAGAGCCAGGTACTGTGTGATTACTATGCAGCAGCCGCTGATATATATTCCACATGCAACATGAGGATGCAGTAAGTCCTTCTGTAATTTCCTTTGCTGACAATGAGGAGACTGGTGTGGTAACCATGGAAACTACAGAGGATGCAGAGGCCTGCCTACCAAGTTGTCCTGGTAACGGTGTGAGTGAGATGATTCCAGCTGAATGTAATTCCCCTTTTCATATTATTCAGGGTCGCTGTTTAAATTGGTTTGATAGCGTTACGACCCTGAATGCAAAGCCAAGGTGTAGAGTCATCTCTGGGACGTTTAAATGAAAGCCTCCGTTTTAAATCCAGCCAGTTATATGTTTGATTGAATGGTAGAAACATAGATGGGAGCATTTGTACTTGACGTGTTTCTCCCTTAGTTACAGCAGATTCTGAAGCAGCAACAAAACAAGCTTCGCAAAAGCGTCTTCGACTGTTTTACAGAAGTTACATGAGTTACAGAAAAAATCTATTCTAGTGATTCTGCTGTAGCGATAAATATAGATTTATATCTATATTTCAAATGTGGCGTGGATTTAGCTTGTTTATAATCTTATATTACTTAATCAGGGAACCACCAGTTTTTGGAACTGGACCGTTGGATTTAATATCTATATCTTCGCAATGTAATCAGTCTCAGAGTTAACACCACAAATTAATCTAAATGATGAATTCTTGACAGAATGCGCCGATTATTCCCGAGAATTGCTAGACAATGATCAGGCGTTATTTACGTTTTGTGAATTTATGACCACATCAGTTAATACATTAACAAAATGACCAAACACAGCTTATAGTTTCATGCATGGAATTAAGAAAATTGTTAACCCAAAGCTTTATGGCAGTGATAGGAAATAACTGATCCGTAATAAAAGTGGAAATTCGGTGACACCAGGATTATAGAAAAATGGGGAATAATTTCTGAAAGGAGAACCAAGGGAGAAGGGTCTGTGTGTGTGTGTGTGTGTGTGTGTGTGTGTGTGTGTGTGTGTGTGTGTGTGTGTGTGTGTGTGTGTGTGTGTGTGTGTGTGTGCGTGTGCGTGTGTGCGTGTGTGGCTCGTTATGGCAGAAGAAGAAAGGGGGTCTTGAGAGCTAAACGTATATGTGGGATCGAAATAAACAAGCCATAAAAGAAATGCACTCATCTGAATTCACTAATCGGGCTTAGCACAAAAGTCAGCCAGATGAGATATTTCACAGACCTGCTTTCCGTCGCCGGGATGGTGGCCAGCGGCTCCCACAGCCTTGGGTTCCTGGCTCGTGGCCTTTTTCAAATCATATCAAAT